GGGGAGGGAGCAGCCACCCCCTTCTTGCTGCATGCAAGCGCCACGGAACATTTTGAGTAACGCGCGCGCGCGTGCGTGCGTGGGAAAGGATAGGAAAGGGAGGGGTTGGTTGTCTGTCTGTCTGTCTGTCTGTCTGTCTGTCTACCCGCTCGGCCGCCAGCCTGCTCGCTCTTCTGTCAGGTGAGGAAGAAGAAACCAGGACAGGACAGGACAGGACAGGCCGGGTACCAAGAGTTCCCGCGCGGGCACATCGCGATAATTGGCCGGTTTCAGAGGGGGTTCCAAACGGTAGCCAGCCAAGTTTATAAGTCTCCTTGGCCCACGGCAGCACAGGCAAGGTGTTTGTTAGGATGTGTACATAGTCCCGGCTTTTTCAAGTCTCCTCATCTTCCTCTTCTTTAGATCTCATTTCAAAACTGCAGTAGCTGGGAATTTGGCGGGCGCTCTGGACGACAAAACGCAAGGTTTGCTGTGTGTGTGTGTGTAATAGAATACGACTTGGCTTGTGGTCACGGATTTTTTCTTTCTTTTTCTGTATTTCTTTTTTGTTGGGGTCTTTTTTTACTTGATCTATTTCTTTCTTTTACTTTCTTTTTTTTTTCTTTTTCTTTTTTTTTTTTCGGGTGCAACAGCAAAACAAAATTGAATGTTATCACAACTTGAACAAAAAATACAACAACAAAACAATCACAAAGAAAACAAAATAGATATGCTGTTAGAAAACTATATTTTTTTAAATATTATAAAAACACCCTTTTCTCATTTTAACAATATTTTTGGAACAGAGTATTACTTTCTAAATTTCTGAAAATACACATTATATTTGGATATGCGCACATATACCTGAAGTTGCTGTTTCATATAGGTGCGTATGGTATCCAGTATGCCTTTCTGTGCGTATCTATGTTTCTATGTTAATGTACGCTTTTTAAAAAAATACTTCGATGTACGTGTGTGTATTATGTGTGTGCGTGTTTGGTGTATGTGTGTGTGTGTGTGTGTGTGTGTGTTGTGCGCGCGCGCGTTTGTGTGTGTGTGTGTGTGTGTGTGTGTGGGTGGGTGTGGGTGTGTGTGTGTGTTGTGAGTGCACCTGTGTTTGTGCTCGTGTTAGTGAGGGTGGGCTTTCTTGGCGTTCTTAATTGCTTACCAAGAAATCCCCCCCCAAAAAATCCAAAATCCCACAAAATCAAACGTACAAATAAAAAAATAAAAATTTTAGACAATATCTAGTAAGGGTTCTGCATCGAAGTTGTAACGGATACCTCCCGAGGACTTATAACACTAATTATACTTAACCCTATCCATTTTTTATGTTAACTAGAAAAATTGTTTTTGATTGAAAAAATATATATATTTACACTGATTTTTAAACATTTTAACATACGATTTAATTACTGACCCGAGCCAGCCGTACAGAAAACTTTTGTGAACAAAACTAACGTGTGTTTCGTGCGCTCATATGACCTTATGCCGTAAAACACTATACTAAACAAACAACACTATCCGTACGACGTGTTTTAATATCGTGTCCATACGACGTGGGGGAACTCTGTACCACCATTTTCCATAGAGGAAATTTACTCATTAATCCGATCCATACGCTTTGCAGAGCAGTCTGTCAAAATCATTTTAAAAAAGAAATACTGAAAATTTCAAAGACATCTTTGTACTAGAAGTATTCTAAAATGTGAAGAATACAACCACGGGGGGTACAAAATGACACCAGGGCGTACGAATAGGATTAAATTGCTAAAGACTGACCCTCCGAATTTGGATCGGAAAAGACGACTTAAAACTTTTCTTGGGGAACTTTTCACTTCTCACGCCGTATTGACATAACGGAAACTTTCCTATGCAACTAGGAATAACTAATTACTATCCAGATGATGAAAATATTGGCCGGTCCGCTTATATTGATTGTGCTGGTATTCTATCTTCCTTTCTTTCTTTCTTTCTTTCTCTTTTTCTTTATTTAAAGTTACCCATTTTCTTAATTTATTCATTCATTCATTTATCTATCAATCAAATTATCTGTCTATCTATCTATCAATCTATCTATCTATCTATCTATTTATTTATTTATTTATTCATATTATTGTCAAACAATTTATTTTGTTCTTTCCCTTATTTTTCATCAATGTCAAGCCAGACTGAATATTCATGAGAAAAGTGAACTTACTAAAATAGTTGTGTAGCCAACAGTAGGGATTGCTAGAATAGCAGGTAAAGTAAAGTTGTTCCCGCATCCGATCCGGACATTGGGGATTGCCTTGTTAGTTAGACAACTTCCTTGACATTCGGCACATTATTATTATGGTAGGGTGGCCGAATCCTTTCCACGCTGCATTTACTTCCCCAACTCGAAGTCAGGTACCCATTACTGCTGGGTGGGCAGGAAAGGGCGAGAAAAATCCGTGTCCGAACCGAGGTTCGAACCCGGACTTTCCGCTTCGGAGACGAACGCACTAACCGTTGGTACCTCACGTTATTTGGTCGCTTTGAAGGACAAGCGGGCTAACCCAGTTTACGGGGGGTTTCTAGAGATTTTGACCTACACCAAAAGTGGGCATTGCCCTACCTCTATGAGAAGTTAAGTTCCAGTGGTGCGTATAATTATTTGTTTGTTTATAGAGAACATTTTCCTTGTCTTTTAGAGAGACTGTACAAGGATCCAACACTATTAGCTTATTTAAGAGGCGGGACCTCCGAGTTGAACGTCCGTCTCCGAAAGGACCGAGCCAAGTGGGAAATTCGTGTAAAATGTCTTTCCCAGAGACACAAAGTCGGACCGAGTTGACGCTGGAACTCACGAACCCGCAATCTCACCATTACAAGTCCGGTAACCTAATCAGTAAACCACCAACGCATCTGTTTGGAAACTACTCAGTGAAGACTGATGGTTTTTGAGGAAGACATCGTAATGCAGATTTCCAAAATAGGCCTTCTCCAAGCAGAACATTATCTTTAGCGCTTTTTGTCGAGTTTTGAATCGTGTCAATAACATTTCTTCAACTTTTGAAATAATATTTCTCTTTTTCTATCATTCCATAATTCTGTCAGTACACACATACACACGCACACACACACACACACACACACACACACACACACACACACACACACACACACACACACTCACATACACACACATACACACAATCCCACACACAAGCACACACACACAACTACACACACACACACACACACAAACCCTCACAAACACACTTTTTTATACTCACCCCCGCCCACACACACACATCATAAATATTTCTTATTTTGAGGCCCGTGTGCAAAAATAGACGCCTACAAAGCTGTCTAAATTATACAGGATTAAAAAGTTCTCCGTCTAAAGTGATGGGATTACATTGCTTTGTCATGTTTGAAATTGCCGAGCATTTTATCGTCAACGTCATTACATCGAACACCTAATTCTTTTTTAAATTTTGAGAAAACTAAAGCTGATGGTTGGAGGTCGCACTAGTAGGTCTAACTTCTTTATTTTCCCTCTGTTGTTTCTGTCTGCTTGTCGTACCCTTTTTCCAATCAGTAAATGGCCATTATTGTGACTATGTGCTTCTACTTACTCAAAGAAACACGGGATAATTAAAGAAAGGGAGAGTACCCAAATCAAAGCCGCAAGTCTGGCACTAGATAGTGTAAAAGTAGACACTACAAAGGAAATAACGAAAAAAAACCCTGAAACGATACCGCAAGATGTTCATTAATGTATATATCTGACTTTACATCAAAAAAAATTTCGTTAAATTTTTTTTTAAACATGAAAACTCCCAAAAACTGGAAAACTCCCAAAAACTGATTTGGGTAATTGTGAAATTACCCTGATCATAAACGTCGGGTGAAGAGAGGAAACTTCGTGTAAAGTACCTTCCTAAAGAATCAGCGTCGGGCTCCTGAAGGGATTTGAACCAACGACCTTATGGTTGAGACTCCGGAAGCTCAACTATTAGGCCACTGAAACCACAGAATCAAGAAAAAAACATAATTAATAGGGCTCCTTTTATGCACAGATGGAAATCTAAATTAAAGTCCTATTCTAGCTTGATAAAAATTCCTCCAAAATAGTCACTTTAAGGCTATATTTTAACAGGAGACAGTGTTATATCTCATCATAATACTCAGGGGCTCAATGAAATTGTTTTTGTGAGTCATATATTATCACATCAGAATTTTACAGTTTATCATTTTTCTTAAAGCTAGTTTCGCAACATTATGTTAATAATAATAGTAATAATAGATAGCATTTGTTTAGCGGAAGTTCTCGCTCAAAAGCAAGCTCTGTAATATAAATGGTCGCTAACAAGCGGGCTTACCCACATTTCGGGGCTTTCCAGAAATTTTGACATACACCAAAAGTGGACATTTCATTGCCCTACCTTTAGCAGAAGTTGGCCTCATTGATGTGTATATTTGTTTGGTTATAGAGAAAACTCTCCTCTTGTCTTTTAAGGAAACTGAACAAGGGTCCAAAACCTTTACCTTCGTTGTTCTCAAAACAGCATTTATCGGGATAGCCCCATTGTGCTTAAAAGCGACCAAAGAATACCTTAGCAGCCGTAGACCTTTATAGCTTTCTGAAACACTCTCTAATAAACTATTTTTTAAAAAGAGTCAGCCTATCCAGCTGCGCAGAGAATACTAAATTGAAAGTCAATTTCTACCAGTGGCTGCCGTCTAGATATATGTGAGGCAGCGTGGTGGAATCAGGCTCTCGTCAAAATAATCAAAGTGAAGAAACTTGCATTTTTCCACAGGTTTGTGAATTTGTATCACAATTTTGTTTTTTGGCTCAACACCTTTCATGTCCATTTCTGTGTGGATTTTTCTGAAAAATGTTGATTAAAGGCTCAAAAAAATGTAAATTTTCTGTTACCACGAACTCTTAAGCTAAGGAAATAACTAATCTTTGGCGGCCATTTTCTCACTAGATTTACCCCTGAAAACAAGTGACCCCCACCTCCTTCATTCACAAATATCTCGACTTGTATTCAAGATAAACGGATATTTTCCCCCCAAAATAAAGACAAATGAACAAGCTTTAAGATGATACCAGTAACTCTACATGCCCAAAAATTGACGAGAGCCTGATTCCACTACGCCGTCTTACATAATATCATGTACAGATAAAAAAGAAGGCCTAAACAGTAAGTAGTTTTAGCCATGTTGCCCACACAAGCTGACACCGCCTGACATAGCAGCCTTTCCAAAGTTTGACTTTTATTACTTTCCTGGTAAGGAAAGCAATCGGTTCATTAATATCAGTAGCAAAAAACAAAACAACAACAAGCAAAACAAAACAAAACCAACAAAAACACCCCCAAA